GGGGGGGGGGGGGGGGGGGTTCCGACTCTAGCGCTTGAGCCCCTCGAGTTTCCGCACCGATCTACCCGGAGAGAACACGGTCTCCGTCGTCACAGCCAGCCAGCCAGCCAGACAACAGAGCCAAACATAAACGCGGGCGCGGTGACATGACGGCACAACGAACGAAACAAAAAAAAACAAAACACGCACACATCTTCACCAGAGATCGAGAGCGGAGAAACGTTTAAGAAAGCGAAGCAAGATCGTAGACAACAAAGTGTAGGGAGGCGTCTACAAGGCGAGCGGGCGGATGGGTGCGTGGGCCCCATACTATCACTATTACGATTACTATTACTATTACTATTACTATCACTGTCACTATTGCTATTACGCATGATTCCTACTTGGTGCGGGCCTGGAGCGCCATCTGGAACCTTCCGTAGTACTTGAAATTGAACGACGACGCCACGAAGAAGAGCCCTCCCCCCCTCCCCCCCGCGAACTTCGATCGGTAGCTCTCCACCACCGCCCTGTACTCGGCCTCCCGCGGCGAGTTGAAGGCGCACACCCACACGCCGCCGGCGGGGTGAACGGTCAGCCGAAGCACCGCGTCCAGCTGCTCCGTTAGGGTGGTCCTGTATGGTAATAGTTGTGTGTTTGTGTTTGTGCGGACGACGTTTGGAGGCTCTGGTGTTGTTGCGTCTTGGTGTGTGTGTGTGTTTTCTGGTGGACTGAGAGAGCTTTGATTGTTGGGCATCGTTCTGTTAGGCCTGGTTCTGTACGTGATATAACACGGCGTTTGCTTCCTGCGTACCACCACCACCACCACTACGGGGGGGTGGGGGCAAGATAACAGAGAAACAATGCACGGTGCCACCGCCTTGCTCCAATCCCACCCCTTGTCCTCCACGGAGGTCGAACACCGTGATAATCATCAGGGCTCCGGGCCAGGTGCACATCGTTCAAGGTGATACATGCGGTGCTCCAGTATTTATCGAGTGCCATTCAAAATACTAAATGAAAAACACACCGCATGCTGCAATGAAATTTTTCCACACTTAACCGAACAAGTGCAAGCGTTAACCGAAGGGTTAGCCTCGCAGCATGGGGTACTTTCGTATGTACGCGCCATGGGGTGCTCTCGCGTGCATGCACAAGCACGAAAGCAGCAATAGACTGGTACCATACACAGCAAGGGCACAGCGGGGACTCTTTGGGGGCCGCGTGCGGTCCGCTCACCGAGTCCACTGGTTGAGGATGATGGTGGTGTCAGACATGGCGTTGGTGGCCGAAGGGTCGTAGCTGCTTCGCATGGCCATGAGCTGCTGAAGGGTGAGCAGCGGCCTCCCCTTGACCTCCGCCATGTCGTGGACCTCCATGAAGAGGTGGCGCTTATGTCTACCCTTCTCTCCTTCGTGGCCGTACTTGCGCCGCAGCTTCGGGTCTACAGCAAGATGTGGTGGCATCCGGGAGGAGGGGGGGGGGGGGGGTGTACTCATTGTCGTGCATGCCGTAGTCGTTAGATCATTGACCTCGCATCCCAACAAAGCCGGGACGGAGCACGCCCGGTTCTCACCGGACCAATGAGGAGGGGGGGTATGCTTATCACACACGCAGACAGCGCCCGCGCAGGAAGAGACGAGGTGGATAATCACGAAAAGCTGCTACAAGCAGGCGTTATGCGCCCCCCCCCCAAGAAGGCAGCAGTCGAGAGGTTCTCGACGGCTTCAGGGCATCGGAGACAGAGGGGGTTTCAGATACCGCCGAGCGCAAAGACGATGCAGCCCGTGGGAGGCTGAACTTGTGCACTGCTGCCATGCTAGATACCCCATTTCCAAGCCGCTGTGAGCTGCACGCACCTGTCGACGCGTAGTTGTAAAGCATAGCCTGACAGGTCTACGCCTCATCGCTTCGCTTGACGTACAGACTACAAAGGTTATACGAATACCCACGTCTAACGTATGCTTCCAGAACACCATGCGGCCGGGAGGATCAATGGCTTGCCGCATGTAGTTTACTAAGCAGCCTTGACACCTAGAAGTCTACATCCGGACGTGAGGATCGATAGACCTACATCCTGCAGCAGCAGCAGCAGAAGGGTCATAGCGGCAATCACTAACAGCAGTCCCGGGTACGCCGATACAAGTGGGAAAAATGATGGGGGGGGGGGGATAAGGTGACGCTAAGCCTTTGGTCATGTTAATCGATAGCGGTACCATGTTTTGGGAGCTCCAGCGGCTGCGGGCGCTTGTCTAGAAACCGCTCACCGACGAATACCATGGCTTTCGGGTCGTACCGCCGGACGATCTCGGAGTTTCCTTCCACGGTAACACCTGCGACCAACCCCCCCGCCCCCCCGGCCGCCGACCCCCCCTGCCGCTTCCCCTCGTCGTACATGTGCTGAAAGCTCTCGATGAACTGGTCCACGTCCCGGTCTTGTTGTCTTCGCCGCGACCACACGACCCCAACTGATCGGTCGTCGTAGACATGCGATGGATGTTCCGTTTTTCGGGTGATACGTATTTGATTGTCGGCCCGGTTGGTGCAGTGAGGAGGGCAGGCGGACGCGGGGGGCAGCGGCGGAGGACGGGAGGTGCGCAGGGGGGGGGGTGAGTGCTTGCAGCCCGTCGCCAGCGGCGAAAGTCCGTCGCGACATAGTCTGGCGTGCTATACTTCATTCTGTCGGGATAAAATATCAAAGGCTTGTTCTGCCAGGCATGGCCTTGAAAGGAGAAAACACCCGTTGGGATTGCCGAGGATGCCGCCGCCGCCGACGGGTACTCTCCAGTCCACTACGAACCAGCGAGAGCGTTAGCGACGCGCGCCGCTGGCAATGCAACGTCCGATGCCTCTTCCGAAGTGGACAAAAAAGGGTTTTCTCCTGCCAAAGGCGGACGTCGCATTCATGTCCTCCGCCACCCTCCTCCCGGCAGTTTGCAAAGAGGACGCGTACTGTCTGTATCTCCGCGAGCTTCGAGAGACAGCGCGAGCCCCCTGCTCTCTCCGTAAGAGCATGCAACACATCACACCAAGAACATCGAGCCGCAGCGCGAAACCCAGAGACAACCGTCTCGTAACAAGAGAAATTGAAAGTATGATTTGCCTCTTATTCTTACAATGGGTGTAGCAGAAGAACAGAGAGGAAGAGCGCGTATGTTTCCACACTGCGCACGCAAATCGTCGCCGGCATCGCAGCGAATTGGTAGTATCGAAGTTGCGTGTGGTGAGGGCCGGTCTTAACGAAGGAATCGGTTCTCGATTTCACTTCCCGATTTGATTCTAAGACCACAAGATCCAAAGAACTCTCTTGTTGATTGGCTAAAAGTTCTGGAACCCGTGGAATCTTTAGGACTTATAATCGGATCCCCCCTCTCCAAATCGGGAACAAAAAAAAAGGTAAAATGATTTAATCGGATCCCGATTTGGGTGAAACGAAACCAACTTCGAACATCAGCGGTCCAGTCGACGGCAAGTGACGCACTGACGCACAGAAAGTAGTGCCGTGGCAAGGCGCCACACCAAGCCGCGACACCAATCCAGCACGGAGTGCGCACAGGCACACCCACGGTGGGGCACCTTGTTGCGCAAGAGCAGTAGAGGAAGAATGTCCTATTCGCAAGGCGGGGGGCGTGACCAGGAGCATCAGGAGCATCACCAGCATCCTCAGCAGCAGGGGCAGCGGCAGCACCAGCACCTGCATGGCCTTCTTCTTCTGACCTCTCTTGTAGGAGCTCCGTCGAGCGTGGCTACGCGGAGGCCGCGCCGTGGTCGCGTGCGATGTGTGTCCAATGCTGTTGCGGCGGGTTTCCAGCATCCACGTCACCGCGGGGCTGTCATCAACCGGCCTGTTCGGCTTCTTCGTACATGTACACAAGGAGAAACGATTTAAAAAAAAAACTCGTTCGTGCTTTCATCGATAAGACACACAGGCCATTTAGGTCGGATTTAGGTAGATCCGACTCTTGTATTCTTATAATCAAATTCCTAATCGAGAACCGATTCCTTCGTTAAGACCGGCCCTGAAGCCACACCCCCCCGCCTCGTGTCTACAAACTAAGGCCAATTCTTGTGGAAGGTCTGCATTTTGTCTGGAAACCACAGAATCACGTGGAAATTCCCAGGCCAACAGAGAGCAGCTGCGATTTATGGATCAACCCTTATGGTCGGAAAGGAAAAAGACGGGCTTGACTCGACAGACCACCAACTGCCGGTTGGTTCCGTTCGAACCGCATCTAAAAGCGGCTATCTTCGCCGTAGGATCGGGAGGGATACACGCACACCTACCTGCTATGGATTGAGCAGCACCACATTATCAGCACACAAGAAGCAAAGAGGTAACGGCCGGTTTGTGTGCTTGTAAATGAGAGCATTCCTTTTGAGAAAGGGTGTCCTCTTTTCCTCTCTGCACCAAAAGCTTTCCACATAATCCTGGCTTGTGGACGGGTTGTCGATTGGTGAATGGTTGTGTATCTGATCTATTTCATCACGAAACATATGGCGACACCTGCCTACCGTATATGACACAAGATAACACACCCCCTGGACCGATTTTCAAAGCTCGATTTTTCAACAGCAGCAACAGTCGCAGGGCCGAAAACGGCGGCGTTGAAGCCGTCTGGTCGACAGCTCTCTGAAAATGTATCCTTTCGTCCATGCATCCTCTTCGTCGTGAAGTAATCGAGCTCTGAAAATCGGTCCAGGGGGTGTGTTATCTTGTGTCATATACGGTATTCACGGGTGCACGGGTGCGTCGCAAACAAACGTGCATATTGGTGCCGCGAGCGCGCAACAACGCCTGCACAACGACCTCATACCCAAATCCCATCCAAAAACTCCAGCTGAGATTTGGGCCTTCAAATCGAGCGGGCAGGGCGATTTCGGGGTATCTGCGATTTGAAATCCCAGTTTTTCGGCAAATAACAGCACCTGCTCACAAGAAGTGGCATGTCCTGTCGGCCTGACTTACATGAATAGGAGTACAACAAACGTCAAATCTCAGGAACTGCAGAGCTTCCGTAAGAATTGGTCTAATTAGACAGTAGTGTTCGCATGTCTGCCTGCCTCCTATTATAGTACTGCACGGCCTTTCCTCATCAAGGAGTTCATATTTACAACAAGCAGTGTATACGGGAGATGGAAGATTCACGCACGGGGCTGCGCTGCCGCGAAGGTTGGGAACGTTGTTACGTAATCAAGTACCGAACGCACTGCTTGCTGTTGGTGTGGATGGATACCATCCTGTCCTCCCGAAGCCTTTGTCGGGTTGTTCGCTTGTGAGAGGAAAACATGGGCAACGTGGAAACTCTCGAAGAGGCCTCCGATTCATACCCCCCCGCCTATGCTGCGTGTTACGCGACGTCCAGAGTGCCCCAGACGGGCAAACTTCTATCCGTAGGTAGCAAAGGGGGTAGCGAGGGTCGGCGGGTGTGCCAGCAATAGCGTGCGGAGAATGTACGTTGGGTAGCCTACTGTAGTCTGGATGTGACATACAAGTCAGCTCGGGGAAAAGGGAACGCAAGACACGTACTCACGAAGTAGGGTGAGCACAACACCGAGAGCCACTGTGGCCATGAGCGCCAGCTTGAGGGAAGTGGGGGACCTCCCCCTTTTGCGCCCTCCTCCGAATGTTCGCCCTGGCCGCCGACATCTGAGCAGTAGCCTTCGTACCATCATCACGCTGCTTTGGTGGGTAAATCGGTTCCGCCGCGTCTCATGCCCGCCCCACGGCAGCCCAGCGCAAGCCCTCTCGGCGTCCACTTGAGCTCCAGCGGCTCTTCAACAGAGGTTTCAAAGGCAGGAAATCCTTCTCTCGTTAAAAAGAGACGCCCACAACGATCGAGGTGATCGTCCGCAAGCTGCCGCACCTGATGACCTGACTCGCTGGCCAAACTCGGCACCCACCGAGGGGGGCCCACGACTAGTATTTTCAGCCACCGCTGGAGCTTTGCAGCAGGTTGTGGTGTAGCAGCAGCAGCAGCAGCAGCAGCAGCAGCAAGATCGCGACGGCCTGGCTGGCGTATGGCGTTCGCATCGAACGTGCTGGCATCAGTCAGTCTTCTGCTGCTATCCCCGCAGCTATGGCACCTTTCTGTTGCCTTCGTCGTGGTGCATCCTCCTAGCGACCATGGCGGTGCCTCGCATGGCCGGTTCTCGGAAAGGGCAGCAGCGGCGGCCTCGCAGTGGGCAAGGGCGCCAACTACAGCCGTCCACGCCGACTCCCCGGGAAGAACGTGAGTCAAAGGTTGTGTCGGTACCTCTTTGTGCTTGATCTGTGCAGTGGTCTGTGGGTGACGAGCTCCCTTCCAAGTGCTGTCTATGTCGGCTGATACTTGTGTGCGCGGTTTTGGGATCCAGCGAGAGTCAAGTTTGAAACAGGGAACTTGCTTCCGTCAAGGCGAGCCCACCACTCACAGCGAGAACATGTCGTACTACATATGCATATGATATGGCAACAGCAGTGGATGGACCCGTATCGGTAAGATCGGGGACGGCGCCAGTAAGAACCCTGTGTGGTACTCCAAGGAGTGGGTGTAAAACTTATCCCAGACAACCGAGGGAACAGCATTGTAGGTTGCCGATAACAGCAGTACCCTGTATACTTTCATACAGCAGTAGTACAAAGCAGTTGGTTCATAGTTCGTATCCACAGCAATCGACACACAGAGAGCAGACCACAGCGGTATACGAGGGCGACCTATTCGACAAACGGGCCATATTCGATGTACAGTACTGCTGCTGTAGTACTCGGAACAACTACAGCGTCAATTACTCGCCTCGCCCACTGGAAGACACCGCGACGTGGTGGTTCGTAGTAACAAAAATGGGCTCGGCTATGCTCGTTTGTCGTGGACACCGCTGTTAGAAGCCTCTGTGGCCCCCTATGCTACTTGGCGGGTGTTGCGGGTTAGGCTTGGATCAGGTTGGACTGGAGGGTGTTAAGCTGGAACTGTTAGGAATATTCTCACACGGCCTGACCCCCTTTGAGTGTGTGCATACATGTACTACAGGAGTTGTAGACCGCCCAAACAAGGTACGATCTGTTCTACAGCATCAGAGAGGCCGACGACATCCCCTTGTCAGTTCACGACCATCGCGGAAGGACCGCCGTGAGCCACTGGCATCTATGACCCCGAGATTAGCTCGGTACCCTCGTGGTAGCGCATGTTGGGCGTGCTGTCGGGAGTACTCGCCGAGCGAACGCGCCAACTCTCTCTTGCTTCGCAACGAGGTCTGCAAGGTGGACGCCGGCCGCTGTTGCATTATAACACCGCTCGACGGAAGTGAACGCGCCTAAACGTTGAAAATAGGCGATCTTCGAGATGCCTAAGATGATTCCATTCGAATTGTTTATCTCCCACACTCGGTGTTGACATCGGTAAAGGTTACCTAGAGTATTTCGTGTGGTCTAAAAAGTGAACTTGACGATCGTTAGAGAGCACTTTCGCATGTTACCGTGGGCCAGAGGTGACAATTCTTCCGAAGTTGCACCCTCACGGCCGACATGAACAATCGAGCATATTTGGGGTACCGTACATAGCCTCGTCGCTGCTAACACCTACAACAGCAGTTCGTCAACACCCATCACTTTACGTACGCAACACTGCGTCCCGCCCACGCCCGCGAACTGCAGCAGGCAAGGCTCGCGATGTCGATGTCACCCGCCCTCGTTCGATAGTAGTAGTGGTAGTACTAGTAGTAGTAGTAGTCGAGAGCGGAGAGCATCGGAGGGGCGTGTGGTCGGCGGCGCCGGGAGGGGGAGGAGGACGAGACGTCGGAGTCGACAGCGCTTGCTGCAAGCGAGACCGGGCAACGAGGTGGAGCCGCCGGAGAGAGAAGTGATAGACGCCGAGTTCTCGGACGACTTCAGCAAGATCGTCGAGGCGGACCGGGCCAGCAAGCGAAAGAAGCCTCGGGAGGAGAAACCAGCTCCTCGCAAGAAGAAGGCGGTCAAAGCGGCAGCAGCGAAGAAGGGCGCGGCCTCGACCCCGGCCCCGGCCCCGGCTCCTTTCACGTTCGCGGGTTCCGGTTTTGCGTCCTTGGAAGAAGCGCTTGCCTCGGGGGAGTTCGCGGATCTGTCGGGCGGGCGGGGGTCTTGCCTGAAGCGCGTGGACGAGGACGGGTTCGAAACCGACGGAAATCCACCCAAAGGCTCCAAGGTATTTACAGCAGTACCCTTTCTGGAATGTCGTCAAGCCGTGAATTTACGTAGGTGATCCGTTCCGATTGTTTTCGTGGGGTCCTTGATGGTTGTCCCGGCCCACTGAGTGTGAGTGGTTCTTCCAGGCATCCTGGGACTTTACCCGGGTGCTCTCTTGTAGACCGTTGTCGGCGTTTCGGGAGGGAGTTCTATTTACCGCTCCGCGCCTCAGAGCAACAGTCGGTCGCTGTTTTACGTTGCGCTAGGGAGCTGCCGAGAGCAATAGGCGTTGCAACCAGCTTCTTTTTCGCCTTGAAACCGCTCTGATGTGCTTATACCACAGCAACCTGGTGGGGATTATTTCCTGTGGAGGTAAACACGGATAATTTCCTTGTTGTTGGTTCCATGTTTTTGATGTTTCGAACTTCCGTTTCGATCTATGGGTGGATTTTTGCTGACGGCGTGTGTTATTTCCTCCGCGTTTTGGCCTGGTACGGAAGATCAAGGTGCACTACAAGATGAAGGTTGTTGACGGGGAGAACATAGCGTCCAGTGGAGAAGACCGGACCAAGCCCTTCGAGTTTAGACTGGTAAGGTTGTCGTTGTTAGGTTTTTGCTTGCCTCCTTCAACGTGAGCCCTTTCTCATCTCGGACCTATGGTAGCCCTGCACTACCAGTAGAACACCCCCCCCATAGCCTTTGACTATTGTAATCTGACAGTGTGCGAGCGCTCTGCTCGGACACAAAATCCCTATGAATTCAACCCTGTCTCTCGTGGAATTGCAAAGCTGGTTGTTCAACACCAACTTGACTCATTGAAAAGCGACAACCCCCTTCCAGTAGGCAGAGGGTTTCAGAATATCTTTTGTTGGGATGTAACGCGCTGTCTCAATGATGAACGTGCAAGCGTTCTTGGTTCCCATGTGTTGGCGGCGGTGAAAAGTAGTAAACGGAAGCTGGGTAATGTTCTTTGTCCGCACATGAGTGTGCTAACGGTTAGCCCTCCTCGCTTGGATCAATGTTGCTGTTGTTTCTGTACCCGAGCTATTCCGACCAGGTCTACTCGAACGTACCCCGTACCCACCGTACTCTCCATGGGTGTGCATATTTGTGCGTTTGTTTCGTGACTCAGCACCTTCGGCATCAACAGAACCGACAATGAACAGACGTCGGTATCTGCTGGGCAAGAGACACAGAAACAATTTCTAGTTCCCGGGCCCTGAAAGAAAGGGAGGGGGGAGGAGCACACGAGATTGTTCCGGACGGTCCAAACTTTGGATTCGGAGGTTCAGACTGCTTGAAAGACGAAGCGCGGCAGTTGCTAAGAGAGTTGTAACGTGTGTGCACGTCCGTGGGTTCCCGTGCAAAACCAAAACAGGGCCGCTGGCCGAGCGAGGCGACCCACGGCTGGGACAAGGCCATCTCAGCGATGCACAGGGGAGAGGTCGCCACTCTCATCTGCGGGCCCCAGTACGCCTTCGGCGCGGCCGGCGCGCCGCCCAGAATCCCCCCCAACGCCACCGTCGAGACTCGCCTGGAGCTGGAGGACTGGCTCGACCTTGCGGCGGAATATAATGCCGTCCCCGGGAAGGTGGAGACGGACGAGGAGCTGAGAGAGAGGTGGAGCGAGGACCTGGCGGACGGGACGAGCCCCATGAAGGACGAAGCAGGTGTGGTGTTGTATGTAGCTGGAGAGGCGGCGAGGTTCCGGGGGGGGAGGGGGGGGGGGGGGTACTCATAGCTCGTGCATCGCCGTAGTCGTTTGACCATTGACCTCGCATCCCTACAAAGCCGGGACGGAGCACGCCGGGTTCTCACCGGACCAGGCTCTCACATCACCAAGCGCGAAGCGCCGTGAGGTATTTGGCGAGTCGCATGAAGGGTGAGCTTCATCCTGCTAAGGGTGTTCGGCATCTTGTGCTTACTTGCTTGCGTACGGATGACAGCTACGTATGACTTAATTTATTTTCTGGTGCTTTCACTTCCAGAGACAGTTGTAAGCACTGTGTAACTGCCTCGAGGAAGCTTGACCATTTTAACACAACGTGGTGCGATCATCCCCCGTTGCGCGGAGTGAGGTTTCTCGACCCCGCACAACATGATCTACTCGACCACCATTATGGTTACCGCCAAAAAAAAAAAAACGAGGTAAAAAAAAAAAACGGTAACCTGGTTGCCGAGTTCACGAAGTGAATTGGCTTGTTTTACAACGTCGTTGCCAAGCGACGAAAACCCAATCCCGATGGCAAACACCGAGTGGGGGGCTTGTTTTACAACGTCGTTGCCAAGCGACGAAAACCCAAACCCCGATGGCAAACAAGGCCGAGGGGGGGCAGAGGGGGAGAGGGGGGGGGGGGGGGGACCCCCCCCCGGGGGGGCCGGGGGCCGTAAACCCTTTGCCTCCCCTCCCTTCCAAGCCCGGACCGAGCCCGCCGGATTTTTTCCGGACCCGGCTTGCGCCTTTCCCGGGGGGGGGTGGGGGGGGGGGGACCTTTTTAAACTGGGTCAAAAAAGGTTTTGGATTGGGTGCCCTTTTTTTTTTGACGGGT